TATCTATCTATCTATCTATCTATCTATCTATCTATCTATCTATCTATCTATCTATCTATCTATCATCTATCTATCTATCTATCTAAATCGAATAAACCTAAACCTAAACATATCTATCATCTATCTATCTATTATTTATCTATCTCTATCATCTATCTATCTATCACCTATATTTATCATCTATATCATCTATCTATCTATCATCTATCTATCTATCTATCTATCTATATCTATCATTTATCTATCTATTATTTATCTATCTATCATTTATCTATCTGTCATCTATCTATCTAATCGATCTATCTGTCATCTATCATTTATCAATCAATCTATCTATCTATCTCTATCTATCTATCTATCTATCATCTATCTATCTGTCATCTATCTATCTATCTATCTATCTATCTATCTATCTATCTATCTATCTATCTATCTATCTATCATCTGTTTATCTATCTATCTACCTACCTACCTACCTACCTCTCTCTCTATGTAGCTAAGTTGTTGGATGGCCGCAAAGGGAAGAGGGAGGGAGGGAGGGAGGGAGGGAGGGAAGAGAAGTACTTTCAGGCTTGCAAGATTATGTTAATGGAACCTCACAATAAAGTTAAACTTACTACTCCTATTTCTACTTCTTGTCTGGACTAAAACTAATAAAAAAGAATCATATAATAAATTAATAAAATATAATAAAACAATCCTCCACCCCAGCGACGGCAACACCTCCTACAATCCATTTAATGGGCTCCATCCTGCTCTGCCTTCCTCAGGCCCGCTGGCAGAGCCAGGTCTTCAGCGCCTTCCGGATGTGTGTCAGAGTGGGGGCTGTTCTAATCTCCAGGGAGGATGATGTTCCAAGAGAGGGGAGCCACCATGGAGAAGGCCCTACTTCTGGGTCACACTAGGTGTATCTCCCTTGAGGATGGGAGTGGCTGAGTTTGGCGAAGTTTCCAAGCCTGTCTATCATTTTCCCAAGTTCCTCATTGCCGCAGTTGAAAGGAAAACGAGGGAGCAATTTGATTCAGGCTGAGGAAGAGCTTACCAATCACTGCATTGGAGATGGTGATTTTCAACCACATCCTGTCCCGAATTTCCAGCCCTGAATCCGGCAACTGCATCACTTTGACGATGGTGGCCATGTCGGTTTTCACCGTCAAGGGAGTCTCGTCCAGTTCTGAAAAGGGGAAGGGAGATCGGAGATGCTGATCCTGCGGGAGGAGGACGGTCGGGAGAGGCAAAGAAAGAAAGCAACCTCACACGGGGGCAGCCTATCGTGAGAATGGAGGGGAAATCTCTGGCGTGATGTGTGTGTGTGTGTGTGTTTGTGTGTGTGTCCTTAATAACCAGATTTTGCTAGCTTGTATCCACCAGCAAGTTCTTTGACAAGAGCCTAATTAAAAAGATTAAGAGACTTATGGGGTCCTTTGTGCAGACGTTTCATTACCCAACTAGGTAACATCATCAGTGTTACAAGGGATTGTGTTCTGACCGAAGCAAACTCCTGATCCTGACAAAAACCCCTTTTATTAATTGACTGTGAATTCTGCTCATTCGCATCCAGAAAAGTCGTTCCAGGGAGGATTTACGGTCACAGACATTATCTGTGTTTGGAGAGCTGCCAGGCCGAACTTGGCAGAACTTGGCAAGGAGCCTCCGAGAGTCACGAACCAATGAAGCGAACTAATGATCTCCTGCAAACTCCACTCCCCTTTCGCTCCTCTTTTATCCCCTCTGGGAGGGGCCATTCACCGTCCACCTGTGGCCTTACTCCCAAGTCGACCCCTGTTCTTTAGCTCTTCCCTTCGTCTGGCCACTCTGCACATGTGCACACTGGGAACAGGCTCCAGCTGTTCTTCTGCCCCACTGATGTCTGACTCTGAAGGCAGGTGATAACTGGCATACGGCCCTGGCCCCCTCTCTGCCTCCGACCCAGAGCCCTCATCGGAGCCTCCCCCAGACTCCAGGACTGGCCCATGTTGTTAGTTCCTCTAAGCCCCATATACCTTTTGCATTAAGCTGTCTCCCGTGGACCCTACGTGCTTCTTAAGAGGCCCCTAAGGAGGCATGCATAAGTGCACCAGCGTGCCTTGCCATCCCTATCCTACTGCCCCATTGATATGTACCCTTTTTAGGTGTTTTGCTTATTTATACCCATTTATTTGTGCCATTTTTCCATGTGTTTTCATACTTGCTTCCTCGTACTTGTTGACAAACAAATAAGGAGAGGAGGGGAAGGAGAGAAGGGAAAGGAGAGGAGGAAGGAAGGAAGGAGAGAAGAAAGAGAAGAAAGGGGGGTAGGAAGGA